GTGGGGCTCCCAAGCTCCAGTCCAGCCCCTGGAGCCCATTCTCTAGTGTGAGCAGGGTGTCCTTGCTGGTGGTGGCAGGAGGCTCCAGGAGCCTGGGGAGGGCTGAGCATATGCGTGTTCCTGTTCATGTGTGTATGTGTGCATGCATCTGCACATGTGCACACACGTGCATATTGTATGTATATGTGTGTCTGTGTTCATGTGTGTATCTGTATCCATATTTTTTTGGGCAGTGCACGCTTGTACCTGTGTATGTGTTTGTGTCCGTGGGTGCACACATTTGTACATATTATGTGCACTCGAGTGTGTGTGTTGGGGGGCTGTGCTGAGCCCACAGCTGTTGATGCTAGAAGGTGCTCCCTCCTCCATGCCCCCTTTCCTCCAGCTCAGCCTGCATCTCCCTGGTCCTGCAGGAAAGTGCCTTGAAAGCCGTGCAGCCTCTTGAGACCTCTTGCGTCTTATCTCCCTCTCTCCAGGCACTAGGCTCCAGGTCAAGGTCAGGAGGTGGCGGCCTCCTCAGTGCGGGGTGAACCTCGCTGTGGGGTTCCAGCAGCGGTGTGACCAGCCCTGGTTTACTTTTCTCCAATGCCTTGGCTGCCGTCTGGGTTGATGGGGTGGAGGTGGCGCAGCAGCAGCCCCTGGGGGACTCAGTCTGAGGCAGAGGCACCAGGCAGGTGCCATCCGTGGGCAGGAGGAGCAGCATGGTGGCCGCAGTGGCCATGGCAACAGGAGATGGCGTGGTACACTGTGCCCACCTGCCTTGAGGCAGGGACCTGGGGCTGCCACAGCCTGGGGCCGGGTGGGGCACCAAGGACCGCTGCATGTCCTTGTCCACTTTCCGTTCTTCACCACCAAACCGAAACAAGAAGCACTGGGCTCCTGACTCAGCCCAGGACAGAGGTCAGACTGAGAGGGCAGGAAGTGAGCCTGCTGGGGAGAAAAGGAGGAAGGATGGGGGGAGGCTGGCCCTGCACCCCATCTGCTCCCTGGCCCCTATTTACAGGCAGAGGGGTTTGGAGCACCAGGACATCTTGAGGACCAGGAACTCTGGGGCGACATTACCTCTTCCTCACAGCCACCCTATGTTGTTGGAGATGGGTCACGCCGCCTGGGCAAAGTCTAGGCAGGCCCTGGGGTCCAGAGCTGCGGAGTGAAAACCATGTCCCCAGTAGCGATGGCGAGCTCTCACCAGGGACTGGGAGCCTGGGAGGGGTCAACAAAGCTGGGGGGTCAACAAGCTGGCCTTCGAGGAAGACAAGCTCCCTGTGGCCGGATCCCAGACTCCCCCTAGCCGGTGTGGGGCGCTGGCGCCGCGGGGACCCTGGCAGGGGCAGGCCGCAGCTCCCGCCCCCGGGAGGCCAGAGCAGGGCCCGAGAACCGGGAGAGCGCGCTGGCGGCAGCGCCCGGCGGACTTCGGGGCAGGTGGGAATGGGCTGAGGGGGAGGAACGAGGCAGCTGCGAACCGGGAGGGGCGTTCCAGCCCAGGGAGCGCAGGGTCCCGCGCGGTGGGCGGCACGAGGAAGCCACCCACTCTCCGCCGGGGGGACTGTCGGACCTTGGGGCGAGCGAGGCCGGGGGCCCGGGGCCGCGGGGCAGGCACGGACGGCGCTTCGGGCGCCGGGCCCCGCTAAGTCCGCGGTGGGGGCCGGCGCCGCCTCCCCGAGCGCGCACGGGAGCAGCCCGGGACCCGCTCCACCCTGTGCAGCCCCGTGACGCTCGGGGCTTCCCGCGCTGCCGGGAAGTCGGTGCTCACGCCCGCGGCAGCCGCGCCCGGCCCCACCTCCCCTCCCACGGCTCCCCTCTCCCCTCTCCTCCCCCCTCCTCCTCTCCTCGCCCCGCCTCGCCCAGCCACCCGCGCTCCGCCCCCCGCCTGCCCACCCCCCCCCCCGCCGCCCCCACAGCTCCTCCCCAACCTCCCCTCCCTGCCTGCGCCCGCGTCTGTGCCCCCGTCCTGGGCCACCTGGAACCCGTCCCCAGCAAACAGCTCCCCGGAGGGCTCCGAGCGCCGAAGAGCCGACGCGGCCAGAACTAAACAGGCAACCAGCGCCGCTGCTGCGTCAGGGCCAAGCGGGTGCGAAGCGTGGACGGAAGGCCCCGAAGGCCTCTCCTTACGGGGCTCGAGTACCCCGCGGGGCCTCTTTCCCGCCTGTGGACCCCTTGCTTGCCCCAGCCCCTCGCGCACGGCCTGTGGGCATCTGGGTGCCCTTCGGGCGGCGGCTCCGACGGGCTGGTCAGCAGCCCTGGCCCAGCAGGCGCTCAGTCGATGTTCGGCGGGTCGCTGGGCCGTGGAGGCAGCCCCAGAGCGGGAGGGGGGTCTCAGGTTCAGAGGCTCCCAGGAGTCTGGAGGGACGTGAGTGGCGAAGGCCCGGCAGAACCAGGGTCGGGGGAAGTACCCTCCCTCCCCCAGCTCCGGGCCCCCAGTGGCTCGCGGACCCCCTTGTGGTTAGACGGCCCCATTGCCTAGGCCTCGCCTCCCGGCGCCCGTCTGCGGCTTGCCCCGCCCAGTCCTGCTGCTTTTTGGGGTCCTCTGCCCTGAAGCCCGCTGTGTGCTGCGGGCTGGCGGGGGCGCAGGACTCTGGCCCCGGGAAACAGCAGCGTTGGTCCTGCTTGTGTCTCACTTCACTTTATCCCCACTGGAAGAAGCCCTTACTGCTGGAATCCAGGCACTGCTGGTGAGGGTCTTTCCCTGGAGGTGGGGATGCTGCCCGAGGCGTGCCCTGTACTAGGGCGTGTGGGACACTGTTGCAGTGAGATTCACACTGCGTTCATCCTGGTCCCTGAGAGCCTGGTGGAAAAGCCATGATCTAGGAAACAGTAGACTCATAAACTTTTCTTCCAACAGGATCTGGCTCAGAGAGTCTGAGGGTCACGCTCTGCAAGTGAGGGTCAGGGCGTGTGTGTGATGCTGGGGTGAAGGGGGGACCCACAGGGTCCTCGAGGGTAGTTCTGTTCCCCAGTCACTTCCTGTTTGCCCTCCTCCAGGATAAAAGGTGAGGGGGGCATCCATGGTTAGGTAATGGTCCCAGTCTGCCAACCACCTGTGCCCACCTGAGGGCCTGGTGAGTCAGGTCACCTGACTCCTGTGTAGACCTTCTAGAGGGAAGGAGATGGCAGGAGGGGGAAATTCCCCCAAGAGTGGGTGCAGGCTGGGTCGGTGGAGCAGGGAGGCAGATACCTTTGCAGGGCATAGAGACAGGGGAGCAGATAATACCCAGGTGGGATTTGACATTTTGTGCATGTCCCTCTGATAAGTGTGTTTGGTGTGGCTACATTGCATTCCTTTTAGTTACTCCCCCACCCCCTTCAGAGAGGCTGGTGCACCTGTGTAGCCTTAGGTGGTAGGGCTGGAGAGAAGTGGGGTGTGGCAAGGCCCAGGGCTTACCTGGGTGGGGTGGTCGGGAGGCACAGCTTGCAGTTCAGGAAGGAGGAAGCTGCTCAGGCTACATAGAGAGAAACCCTCTGCATAGGAAAAGAGCTGGAAGCTAGGTGGGGGAGAGCAGGGTGGGTAGGGTGAGAGAAAGCCTCCCAGTGAGGAAGAGGAGAAGCCCATCTCAGTGGACTTCCCACGGCTGGGATGTCTGACACCCGGTTCTTTTGTTTGTGGAATGTCTGTAATGGAAATCCTTTCTACCACCCCAGACCTGCATGTGGGCAGGCTGTGGGAGAAGGAAGACAGACAGAGATGGTAGGGATAGCAGGCAGTTAGCAAGACGAGACCACTGGAGGAGAGATGGCCAGGGAGTAGACGGTCCAGGATGTGCAGGAGTCGCGGGAGGGTGTGGCTGTCCTGCCAGATTTGAGAGGAGAGATTGACTCACTGTGCACTCATTTGCTCACCCCTGAGATGGAAATGACGCCTGAGAGGGCTGTTAGGAGGCTTCAATGTGTCCATATGTGTTAACACTAGAACAAGGCCTGGCATTCGGGAAATGGCTATAGACATGCTAAACATTTTTGTCTGGTATTCATAAAGAACTCAGTGCTCGATATTTTTTGTTCATAAGTTCTTGCATGTGGTTTGTTATTTCCTTTGGGGGATTCCTAAAAGTGAAATTGCTCAAAAGGTATTCAATGGGCCGGCCCGGTGGCGTAGCAGTTAAGTTCGCATGTTCTGTTTCGGTGGCCCGGGGTTCACCAGTTCAGATCCCGGGTGTGGACATGGCACCACTTGGCAAAAGCCATGCTGTGGTAGGCGTCCCAAGTATAAAGTAGAGGAAGATGGGCATGGATGTTAGCTCAGGGCCAGCCTTCCTCAGCAAAAAGAGGAGGATTGGCAGCAGATGTTAGCTCAGGGCTAATCTCCTTCAAAAAAAAAAAAAGGTATTTAAGGTCTTGGCACGTGTTGTAAATTGCCCTTCAGAAAGGCTCTGCCAGCATCAGAGTGAAGAGTGTCAGGGAGCCTCTGCTCCCCCCTCGCCAGTGCTGAAGGCGGATTGTTTTCATCTTTGCCAGTTTGATGAGTGTTGAAGAGTTTTAAGTGTAACTGTCAAGATCAGTTTTAGCAAGTTAACTGTGACAGCACTTACATCCCATTTATAGTCTCACAACCCCAGGAGACAAAGCCACAGTTCCTGCCTCCTCTCAGCAAGTGGCTCGGCTCTCCTCTCCGCCACCTGGCGACTGGAGTCTAGGAGCAGAGAGCTCGTCTAGCACAGAAGACAACAGGCTCAGTGCTAGACCCATGCAGCCGCCAGTTTGTGCAGTGTAAGAAGTCACCCTAGAGGCCAGCCCCGTGGCCTACTGGTTAAGTTTGGCACCCTCTGCTTTGGCGGCCCAGGTTCAGTTCCTGGACTCAGAACTGCACCACTTGTCAGCAGCCATTCTGTGCCGGTGACCCACATATGAAATAGAGGAAGACTGGCAAGATGTTAGCTCAGGGTGAATATTCCTCAACCAAAAAGAGGAAGATTGGCCACAGGTGTTAGCTCAGAGCGAATCTTCCTCAGGAAAAAAAAAAAAAAAAACACTTGAAAAAAAAAGGGAATCACCCGAAAACTTAGTGGCATAAACAACATCCATTGATTTTCTCATAATTATGTGACTTGCCCTAAATTATGACATTCAGGCTGGGAGCAGCCGAGATGGTTCATCTCTGCTCCGTGTGGTATCACTTGGGTTCATTGACTTTGTGGTTAGCTGGCAATTTTTGGCCTCACGTGTTTGGTAGATGGCTGGCTGTCAGGATGGTCAGTGGTATTAGCTGGGCGTGTGATGTCCGTCCTCCAGCAGGCCAGCCCTGGCTCATTCACATGGTGCTGATTACAGGATTCTGAAGAGAAGCAAGACACGGTAAGTCCAAAGCGTAAATGCTTTTCAAGCTCCCCAGTGGGAAATTCCATCTCACTCATTCTCTGGGACCTCCCCTGCCCTCAGAGTTTTGCCAAGGGCTAAGGATCGTGCATAGGTCCAGGTGCTGAGGCACAGCCCATGGTCACCAGTCCTGGTACATAAATCACCCTGAGCTTGTACACATGGTCTCTTTCCCAGGGTGCCACTGGCTGCCTTGTGGAGAACTCCTGGAAGGAGAGAGATGGAAACTCCAGCTAGCGTTCAGCTGGGACAGTGGCAGTGGGAGAGGAGAGGGGCTAAGAAGGAGGATGGACAGGACTGGGCAGTGCTTGGAATGGGGCCAGGAAGGGAGCCCCACAGCCTGAGTACAAAGGCCATTTTATTGCCTGGTCTTTCCAGCTTGGCATGCCACCACTGCAGAAGGAGAAGCCCTCACAGCGCCCATCGCTGCATGTGAAGCAGAAAATACTAACACCTGGGGTGGGGCCAGGTGCAGAGTTGGGAGGCAGGCTGTGGGCTGCATCCTCACCTGCAGGAGACACAGTGCGTGCGAACCTCCCAAGTCATTGTTGGCATATGTTTTACTTCTACAAATGTTATAAACCCATGATACGTTGTTATTATTTCTGCTGTAACTATTTGTCTTTTAGAGGATATGAGAAGTGAGAACTGAAAAAATATTTACTAACGTACTTCCCATTTCCTGTCCTCTTTCTTCATGTAGATCTGTTTCCATGTTATATTATTTCCCTTCAACCTGAAGAATTTCCTTTAACATTTCCTACTGTGCATGTCTGTGGTGGACACATTCTGCTCACTTTTTAAACTGTGGTAAAATATATACAATGTATAAGTTGTCATATAACCATTTTTAAGCATAGAGTTCAGTGGCATTAAGTACATTCACGTGTTACGCAACCATCACCACTATTTCCAAAACTGTCTCATCACTCCAAACAGAAACTCTTGTGAAATAAGACAAACCTCAACTAAACTAGAGTCACGGAGACTTGTAGGGGAGCTCTCACCCCATCACACATGTCAATCACACCAACCAGGAAGAGATGGGCACTTGCATGTCCCACAGGAACTACCACTACTTTACTACTGAAGGAAGATTTCTCTCTCCACCAGGCAACAGTCCAGCCAATGAGAAACACTGCAGCTCAGCCAATGAGAAACACCACAGCTCAGCCAATGAGAAACACCGCAGCTCAGCCAATAAGAAACACCACAGCTCAGCCAATGGGAAACGCCACAGCTCAGCCAATGGGAAACGCCACAGCTCAGCCAATGGGAAACGCCACAGCTCAGCCAATGGGAAACGCCACAGCTCAGCCAATGGGAAACGCCACAGCTCAGCCCATGAGAAACACCGCAGCTCAGCCAATGAGAAATGCCACAGCTCAGCCAATGAGAAGCCATTCCCACCCTGAACTGTTCCTCTCCCCCAATGGATTTTCCTTCAGAACAGCCCCTCCCTCTCCCCCTTTTTCTCTATAAAAGCAGCTCCCCTCCTTTGCTTGTGGTATTTGCCTATGGTTTGACGTAGCATGTGCTTCCTGAATTCTGATTCTTTTGGCTATTTTGGAGTAACCTCATTTTGAGGGTAAAATAAAAGACAAATTTGCTTTTTTTAAAAAAATTTTTTTTAAAGATTAAGCACCTCTTGCTTTTACAAAATACATGATCTGCTAGTTCTATGACTCATGCTTACATACATCTCCCAGCTGTGAAAAGCCGGCTTTGTTCTCTGAGTTCCCCAGGAACATGATGACCTCCAGAAAGAAAAATTCTGCATTGGTACCCATCACAAATGACAGAAGAAAGAGAGAATGTGGCACTCTGAAGTTCCTCACACGGGATGGTCGACATCCCTAATCCCCCTCCTTCCCTGCCCGTTTCCCCTATATAACTGCCTCAAGATTCTGTATGATTGTAACATGGTTCTTCAGGACGCTAGTCCATCATCTTCTGATTATGCTGGGTAATCGTATACATTTTCCCTTCTCAACCACTGGCTTGTTTCCAATTGATTGGCACCAGATTGCAGTGAGCGGAACGTGGCCCTTTTTGCTCGGTTACAAATTTCTGGTGACCCAGATGGGATGTGCCTCTGCCTGTGGCTAGTCAACTCCAGGAGAACTCTCAGGACTCTCCCAGCAGCTGCTGGGATGTTCTTTCTCCTGGGGACTGTCCTCTGAGTTCTCCTGATTGTCAACTGCCTTCAACGCTGCCTCATGGCTGAAGAAATGAAACAGGCTCTAGATTTGTTTGTTTGTTCGTTTGTTTGTTTTTGCTTCTGGTGAGTTGACGGGCTCAATCTGGAATAGGGTAAGTCGCCTTGGGGATGCCTATGAACTCCGTTCCCCTCCATCTGGGGTTCCTTCCATTAATGGAGGGGCCATCTGGGGTCCTTTCTGTTGGCGGAGGGGCCATCTGGGTGCACATTCGGAGTGGGAACAGTTGTAGGGCTTTCTACTCTAAATCTGGGAACGAGTTCACTGGTGTCTGTTTTTTCTGTGCCTGGATCTGTGTGTCTGTCTATCTCTGTGTATCAGAATGGGGGGGGACCTCCATCTATCCCAAGAAAAGGCCTCTGGACTGCCACTTGGCTAAATGGGCTGACTTTAGCTATGAGCCCACGTCCAAAAAGAAGATAGTTTTCTTTTGTAACACCACACGGCCACAATATTCTTTAGATTCCAGAGAGAAAATGGCCAAAATGGGACAGTCTCAGTTTACCTAAACTGGTGTATTTGCATATGCAATTGGAAAGAGCTGGCTGTAAAATTGAACAATGAATGGGAAGCCTATTTTAATCTTCTGAGGCTTCTAAATGAAATTAGGAATAATTTACTGCCTCTTTAAAAGAAAATAATTAAATAACTAAAGATGCTTGCAAAATGAAACCAAATCTTCTCGCTCACTGAGCTTCCCTACTTCGACTCCCCAAAATTCCTGATCTAAAATTAAGCAAGTGAAAATAAGTAAACTTTTGAGATAATTTGGAATTACAATGGTCATTCTGGGGAACCTCTGTTTCAGATGAGTCCACCTTAAGGAGTCACCCTTAAAAGAGAGAATTCAAACCTCTCATGATGGAATGCAGTCTTTGATTAATATGCAGAAACTTCAAAAAGACAAAATGATTTCAAAAACAGCTATAAAGGGGGCCCAGCAGTGTGGCTGAGTGGTTAAGTTCACACGCTCTGCTTCCATGGCCCAGCGTTTCACTGGCCGGTTTGGGTCCTGGGTGCGGGCATGGCACAGCGTATCAGGCCATGCCACAACTAGAAGGACCCACAACTGAAATACACAACGATGTACTGGGGGGCTTTGGGGAGAAGAAGGAAAACAGATAATAAAATCTTTAAAAAAAACCAGCTATAAAAAGAATCCTTATATCAAAAAGACAAAAATGTTTAGTAAAAATCGTTGACTATCTGAGCAGGTCCACCTACCAGAAAAACAGTTCAGACCCAGCTGCTCTTTCGAGTTTTGTACCTGAGACCTGGTTAAAATTCCAAAGATCTCTATCTGTCTCTATATGTATTTGTCTGCCTCCAGGTGATATAATTTCTAAAAGAACTCTATTTAATTGGCTTGGAGTGAAGACTTTTCTAAGTTATTCCTAAATATAATAGAAACTAACCCAAAGGTCTTTCAAGTTAACAGGATATAAAATGATCTTCGGTAAATGGAAGCTTATTTGTTTGTTGGTTTGATTGGAATAAATGCGTTTTCAGAGTAACCAACATTGGATATGGTGCAAACACTATCTCTGTTACTAAATTTGTTAGCAAAAATAATAACAGAATAACAGCTGATTTTGTCTGATCTCTCATGAGGGTTTTGTAGGCAATCTAAATGTAATTATTAAAATAATTATAATTATAATTAAATTATAATATATAAATATTTATATATTATTATAATTATATATAAATATATATATAAATAAATATATAAATATAATAAATATAAATTATAATTAAAAATAAGTAAACTAAATAGATGGGGAAAGGTTGAAAGGTTGTTGGAGGAACTTTTAAGGAATAATTATGTGTTATGGTGTGTGCACTTAAAACAACTTAAGATGATGGCTAACTGGTTTAATGTTCCATGAAACCTTTGTAAGTAATCTAAACATAACTGTTGGGAACAAACAATTTAGATAAAAATGGGCAAGAGTTGGGCTGGCCCCATGGCTGAGTGGTTAAGTTTGTGCACTCTGCTTCAGCAGCCCAGAGTTTTGCTGGTTTGGATTCTGTGCCCAGACATGGCACAGCTCATTAAGCCATGCTGAGGTGGCATCCCACATAGCAGAGCCAGAAGGACCTATGACTACAATATACAACTATGTACTGGGGGGCTTTGGGGAGAAGAAGAAGAAAGAAAGAAAAAAAAAGACTGGCAAAAGATGTTAGCTCAGGTGCCAATCTTTTAAAAAATTTTTTTTAATGGGTAAGAATTTTTGGGTGCAATAGTTTTGTTTGATGGTCTGTATACTTGAAAAACAGCCTCCAAAATCTTTTTGGCAACTTAAGCTTTAGAGCTTTACTAAGTCAAGTTATATGATAAAAACTTGTTGAGTATCTAGGTCATTTCCACGTAAGATAAAATATTAGAAATTGATTGCTAAGCATAGACTTGTCTGCCTCTGGTCTCTTATCTCAAAGAAACTGAAAGATGCTTGAATTTATTGATAAACATGTTTTGTGCATGCTGAGAAATTTTCTATGAGAAAGCACATATTTCTGGAAAGTCTTTATACAAGGAAAGTAAAATATATGTTTTCAATAAAGAAGGTATAAAGAATAGAGGTATTTTTGTTTGTTTTGTTAAGAAAGATAAATTTGTCCTAAAGTATGAGGAAAGGGAAAAAAAAAGAAAGAAGGCATGGGACAAATTTTGATAGAAATTTGTGGAAGGTTTGTAGAAGTAAAACCCTGAGGAGTTTTGTGCATGGTCAAGTTGGCTAAAGTAAGCTGGTGAAAAATCAGAATTTGGCTTTCTCTCTCTCTCAAGAAGATAATTTTCTTGAACTTTTGGTTTGCTTTTGATACAGAGGTTATGAAAGGTTTTCCTTTGAGTAAGTCTACCCAAAAGACAGAAAATCTATGTTTTGTTAAAATAATTTCCTAAATTCAAAAAGATTGAGATCTCTCTATTAAGGTTTTTTTGACTGTTTTAACTCTGTTTGTCTTTGAGTGTTTCTGTTGTCACCTGGATTAAATAGATGACTAAGCATTGCTTCCTATTTGATGAAGTGTTTTAAAACCTTTTGATATTTCAATAAACTTCTGCCAAAATTAAAGTCTTTCTTTTGACTTAAAAAAAAATACTTTAAGAATTTCCAATCAGCTCTGGAACTCCTCAAAGAATTTGTTCTCTTTTTCCATCAAGAGGAAGATATTAAACTAATTAGACTTACTTGGTATGTTAAATTACATGGGAAACATTATCAAATAAATGATAATAAGCCTTCCTAGGTTATATTGTATGGGTAAATGTTATTAATATGTGTTAAAAAAAATTAGACAACATTCCAAAAATTCTGATCTGTCCTGGTTTTCATTCATGATTCTAGTTATTATCTCAAAGTGTTGTATATTACAGAAATAGCTGAGTGTCTTTGTCAGTTGCCATTTTTGAATGTTTTGTCATTTGCAGATGGTTGTTCTTTTACTCTGATGTTTTTGCAAATATGTTTCCTCTTCAGAGAGATTCATGGAAAGAATTCTGACACTTTCTCTAGAATGCAAATTTCTGATAAACTTTCAGATTATGAAACAGCTGGGTAAGAAATTACAGAACTGTAACTGAAAAACTGATGATCTCATGAAACTGCTAACAGAAGATCAAGAGTTGGTTAAGGAAACTAAATGAACTGATAGGGATGATTCTAATTTTTGACTTTTCATTTGAAATGTTGATTTTTTTAACCGTTTGTTTTTTTTCAAGTTTAAGGAAACCTTTTTCTCTTAAGACTGATAACAATTTGGTAAATTATACTTTTGTAAACAGAATTGAAACATTTACCTTTTACTCCTTACCTTATCCCTCCAGAATTTGGAAACTCTTAGTGAATAAGTATTTTCATGGCAACACAGTTATTTGCATAAGTTCAGTAAGAATCTGTTCTCCTTACAGCAGGACACAATAGGAAACATTGGTTATATTACCAAGGCTTTGACTGGAATGTTATATTTGAGAGAAACATACATAAACTCAGATATGACCATAGAGCTTTGAAAGCAAAGATTGGACCTTATGAAATAAAGCCACTTGGAAATTGGCCTGGTACCTTGCTTACAGGATTCCCAGCAACCTTACCTGGTTAATAAGGAAGGTCACTTCCCTGGCAGGTGCAGGAACCCCAGGATATTTTGGGGACCTCGGGAAGAGAGGAATTCACCCAAATCTGTAGGTGTTGCAGGTGGAGTATGATGATAAGTTCTTGGTCTTCCTCAAAAAGAAAAGAAAAGAAAAGAAAAGTTCCAGCCAAGCAGATTTAAAACAGACTTTATGATCAATTGCTACTTTTGCTGTACTTATGTAAATAATCAGGCTCAGTTTATTAAAACTAGACATTGTACAAACCAGTTAGTCTCTCTTTTTTTTTTTTTTTTTGAGGAAGATTAGCCCTGAGTTAACATCTGCTGACAATCCTCTTTTTTCTGAGGAAGACTGGCCCCGAGCTAACATCCGTGCCCATCTTCCTCTACTTTATATGTGGGACGCCTGCCACAGTATGACTTGCCAAGTGGTGCCATGTCCACACCCGGGATCCAAACTGGCAAACCCTGAGCCGCCAAAGTGGAACATGTGAACTTAACTGCTGTGCCACCAGGCCTACCCCACAAACCAGTAAGTCTTAATTTGGTTATTTATGGTAAAAATGAGGGTGATTTTAGAGAGAAAAAAAATGTTTCAACAGAAACTATAATACACATTTGTGGATGTTGGATTTTGGTTCTTTTAACTGTCCTTGAGGTTTTTGTTTTCTCTCTGTAAACTGGATTGGATCCTGAATTCTTCTAGTTTCCTCAAATATCTGGTACAGATCCCCAAAATAACATTTTCAATTTTTTTCTGTCTTTTTCATTTAGAATCATTGAGAACTGAAACTGTCCTTTCTCCTGAAGCCCTGCAAACTAAAATTGGACAACACTGATATAAAATCTTATTTGACATGGGAGCTAGAACTTAGACCTGACTCTGCAGGACAGGTCCTAGAAACTGCTTGGCCAGAAGAGGAATTAACTTTATTTAATGAAGAATTAACACAGGCCCTAAACCAAACTTGTCATGTATATCACAGTAGACAATGGGGGAAATAAAATTGTCCAGTTGGTCAACAAATATGAACATACGTGTACAGGATTCATAGGTGGCACGAACTGCTTTTTCTCTGCTCTCTCAATTTGAGTATCTACCCCCATTGGAACTACTGTCCTGGCATGTGCCACCATTTTCCTCTTCTCCCTTTGTCGTAAATGTAGAAAATGTTGTTGCTGATGTCTCCGACAATGTTGTTGGTCCCCATCAAAACAATGAGGAAACCAAATAGCCTTAATAGAGGTCAGAACTAACCCTCAGTTCCAAGAAAGAGTGAGACAGTATAAATGGCTTGCTTAGATCCACACTGTCAGTTTTAAACTTCCAGAATCTTCCCCATTTGTGGCACCCCTCATCAGCAGGAAGTAGCCAGAAGATGTCTACGGCCTTATTCCCCAGTACTTCATGTAATTTTGAAGCTACAACTGACAGTGGGGAAATTTTAACAGCTAGATCTTAAGTTAACGTGAGAGAAGCCATTTCAGGGAAAGGAAGCAGTATTGTAACTATGTCCCTGACTCACTAGTCTCGGTGAATATATTCTAGCCTGCTCATAGCCTCGATGATTAAGCACCTCTTGCTTTTACAAAATACATGATCTGCTAGTTCTATGACTCTTGCTTACATATATCTCTCAGCTGTGATAAGTTTCTTCTCAGAGTTCCTCAGGAACATGACAACCTCCAGAAAGAAAAATTCTGCACTGGTACCCATCACAAATGACAGAAGAAAGAGATAATGTGGTGCCTTGAAGTTCACCACACTGGATAATTGATATCCCTAACCCCCCCCCCCTTCCCTGCCCTTTCCCCTATGCAACTGCCTCAAGATTCTGTATGATTCTAAGATGGTTCTTCAGGACACTAGTCCACCATCTTCCGATTATGCTGGCTAATCATGTAAATTTTCCTTTCTCAACCACTGGCTTGTTTCCAATTGATTGGCACCAGATTGCGGTGAGCAGAACGAGCCCTATTTTGCTCAGTTACACCCCTAGAAGGGAGACCTTGCCTAAAACAATGCTTTCTTTGCTAATAATTTCCTTTGAGGAAGATTTGCCCTGAGCTAACATCTGTGCCAATCTTCCTCTATTTTGTATGTCGGTCACTGCCACAGCATGGCTGCCACAGGCTGAACTTAACCACTAGGCCATGGGGCCTGCCCCATTCAATAAAGCCAATTTGATCTTTTAAATTACTCCATTCATTTTTTGCTATTTAACAGGGTAGACACCCAGAAGTGGAATTGCTGGGTCATATGGTAATTCTGGGTCCATGTAAATCTACTCTAATTTTGAGGAACCATCAGACTGTTTTCCAAAATGGCGGCACCATTTTACGTCCGCCAGAAACGCACAAAGGGTGACACATCTGTTTTTACACTTGTGTTTCCACTGATAAGCCAAAATCTGTCATGTTTCCAGAGGTTTAACACGTCTGTCCAGGGACTCCTGTTCTTGGACCTTTCTTCTCCTGCCCTGGCCCACGGAACAGTGTTAACAGAACCCCGTGGGCCCTCGTCCCACCAGGTCGCCTCCCGGAACCCCAAGACGGTAATTCTACGCGGACACTGGGGAAGGAACACCGCTGCGTGTGGGGTGGCGTCCCGGTCTCGTCCACTCGCCCAGCCATGTAGGGAACAACAGCCCGTAGCGGAGAAGCCAGGCCCGACCGCTCGAGGCCGGCGACCACCTGCCCACAGCCACCTCCTCCCCAAGCGAGCTGAGGCCGCTTCCCAGCGCTCCGTAGTGACGTCAACAAACTCTCCCTCTGCGCGTGCGTGGCCCCCCCCGCCCCCCCCCCCCCCCCCCCGGCAGGCGTTGCCGGGGCGACGGCACGGCCCTGCCGACGCCCCGGCCTGGCCAAAGTGCGCAGTCTCGGCACTTCCCCGCGCTCCGCCCCACCCCGCCCGCGGGGAAACGGTCGCGCGGCGATGACGTCGCGGGGGCCTGGCCGGGCGTCGCGGACTGTGGAGATGGAGGAAAAGGAGCAATTACGGCGACAGATACGCCTCCTGCAGGGTGGGTCGGGCCGGGCCGGGGTCGCGCGTCCCTTTCTTTCCTCTCACCTCGTGGCGGGCCCCCACCTGTCTCTCCGAACAGGGTCGCTCCCCGCCCGCGGTCTCGACGGCCGGGTCAGGTGGGGTGGGGAAGTGGGTAGGGTCGGGCAGGGAGTGGGGGACCCGGAGGGGCTTCCGGGCCGGCCGGGGTTAGCCCCCTGCCCAGGTTTCGTCCGACGGGTAGTGCGGACCCTTCCGGCGCTGCGGCGGGTGGCGGCGGGCCGTCGCTTAGTAACCGGCGGGAGGCGCCCCCCACCCCCAACGGGCGGGCCAGTCCTCGGCGCCCCCTCGCTCTCGGCGCCCGGCAGTGCGGAGTGGTAGAGCCGCCTGGGACCAGGGGTGTGTTTCTTCCCCGGGCGCCCGGTTTTGCGCTCCTCCCCTCGGGACAGTCACACCCCCCTTGATATTCCAGGCCCAGGCTCCCCGAGCCTCAGTTTCTACCCTTTTCAAATTTTAGACCTGAGTTGGACTTTCTATACTTGGTAAAGAAATTCCTCTTTGAGGTTATTCTCACGAAGAGAAGACTTAAGGACTTGGAAAGTGTGTATGGGGGAGAGTCCAGATGGTCTGGTGGGGCCCTGAAGCCACTTCTTGGGATTCCTCCATACCTGTCCTGAGGTGTCACCAGGTCTGGACGTGGCTCTCTTTGGGCCTGGGGGCAGGACCTGTGTTGGGGGAGTGTTGTAACTGAGAGGCTGGCTACTGGTTTGTTGGTCGAGTTGTAACGCCCTGGGTTGTTCCTGACAAGGTCTGTGCCCACTCCCCACCCCACTCCCCCTGCCCCCTGAACAGCTACCCAGAGCTTCCTTTGAAAGGGTTGTGTCAGTCCACTGCACTGGGCTCCAGACGATCAGGCCCCTCCTCTCCTTAGGGGAGGATGGTGTGACGTTCTTGTCAAGTGTGGAGTGCCCAGTGTTGTCAGTTGCATTGCATTCATTGACCTATGTGTCAGGCAGGAAGATCACTAAACTTTGGTCCTGCACCCTTTCCAACTGTGGGCAAGCAGAGGGCCTCCTGGCTGACTGACTCCCTTCTTGTCCAGGCATTACAGCATGGGGCCTTGCTGGTCTCTTCATATCGAGTGACACTTCCCCTCAAAGGATTGTGGGCCCAGCATAATATTCCCGGCAAATAGAGAATGTTGCCAAAGGGGTGCGTTTTCAGGATAAGTGGCCGGAAATAGGCTGAAGTAGGACTGATGGAAAAGGCTCATGGAAAAGACAGGCCTGGGGGCCTCAGTGGTTCTCAGGCACTAGGGGCTGCCCCTCCTGCATTGGGACCTGGCAGGGACTGAGGGCTGAGGTGGCGTCTGGGCTGTCTTGTCAGCTGGTGGCAAGGAGATTGTCAGTAGTTTCTTATTGATTTTACTCTCACCCTCTGGTTAACTGAGCCTGTGATTCTGTCTTTTCAGGTCTGATTGATGACTACAAAAACCTCCATGGCAGTGCCCCTGTCCCAGGCACCTCAGCCGCTTCTCGATGGCAGCCACCCGCTTACAACAGCAGCAGGGCCTTCAGTGCTCGCTACCCTTGTCCGAGCCGGAGGGGCTTCTCCCCAAACCACGGGCCTGCATGGCGCAAGAAATACTCCCTTGTGAATCGGCCCCCAGGGTCCTTGGACCTGTCTGGCGACTGTGCCTCACGGCCGCCCCTCGGGGCCAGGAGCAGCCAGCGTTCCGACCCCCAGCAGTATGTCCTGGAGAGGCAGGTCCAGCTCAGTCCAGATCAGAACATGGTCATCAAAATCAAACCACCTTCAAAGCCGAGCTCGGCTAGTGCGGCAGGGGTCCCGCGGGGCTCCTGGGAAGAACGTGAGGACTCCCCCAGGAGCCACCACAGGCCTCAGGAAGGTGAGGGCGAGCCCCCTGGCGGGCAGCAGCAACCCTTGAGGCCAGGAAGAGCCAAGGGGAGCTGCAGTGCAGAGGACTCCCTTCTGGTCTGCCAGAAGGAGCCTGGCAAGCCCCGGGTGGTGAAGTCTGTGAGCAATGTGAGTGACAGCCCCTCGGAGCCCCAGCGGACGGTCAGTGAGAGCACAGTTTTGGTCAAGGCACACTCCATGTCCTCCACCTTGCTCCAACGCGGAGGCATGGCCCTGGGTCGGAAGGTGGGCTCTCAGTCTGTGGCAAGCTGTGTTGCACAGCTCCTTGGGGACGGAGGAGCAAATGCCAACCACCCAGATCAGCCAGCTCCCTCTGGCTTGGTGGCAGACCCAGCTAGACCAGCTTCTGGACCCAGGCAGACCCCAGAGGCCTCACTGCTTGTGTCCTGTCGAACCAATAAGTTCCGGAAGAACAACTACAAATGGGTGGCTGCCTCGGCGAAGAGTCCCCGTGCTACTCGGAGGGCCCTCAGTCCCAGATCTGCCTCAGAGAATGTGAGCAAGACCCCCCTTGGCACAGCAGAACGAGTGGACAAGCCGCAGCTCAGAGCCAACCTGGATGCCAAGCCCAGGAGGTCGGCCATGTCCTCCACACCTGGGGCCTCCCCCAGCAAGTACAAGTGGAAGGCCTCCAGCCCCTCTGCCGCCTCTTCCTCCTCCTTCCGTTGGCAGTCAGAGGCTGGCAGCAAGGACCATGCCTCCCAGCTCTCTCCAGTCCCATCTAGGTCCCCCCCAGGGGACAGACCAGCAGTGGGACCCAGCGACTTGAAGCCCCTCTTCAGTGAGACCCCGATCTCGGCTTACAAAGTGAAGAGCCGTACCAAGATCATCCGGAGGCGGGGGAGTGCTAGGTATGTGTCCCTGCTGCCACCCTAGGGTCCTGTCTGGGCAGGCGGGGGTAAGACTGGTCCCAGTGAGCTCCTTCCTTGGTATGCAGAGCCAGTGGGATGGCCCACCTGCAGGAGTGTGGGAAGAGGAAATGAAGCATCACCTGGCACCCTGCCAGGTCAGGGCTGAGCATGGAATGTTGGGTGTGGTGCCATTAATGTTCCCACTAGGAATGAGGCTGGGGTTACTGCTGTGCCTTACAGATGAGTAAGGGGGGCTCAGCATGGCCAGGGGCTTGCCTGGTGCCCCCAGCTAGGTGAGGACAGTTGGAAGTGGGTGCCAGGAAGCCCACCTTTTCTCCTGTTGGTGAGAGACCGGAAACCGCTAGGGCACAACCACAGGGTTTGTGGATGGCCTGCTTTGTGCCTGGGCCAGGCACTGGGCTGGCAAACCCAGGGTGCAGTGTGTCTGCGGGAGGGGTCATTCTTCCACCAGGGAGGAAGGCTGCCCCCTTGGCGGCCAGGTACTGGGTAAGTCACCACCTCCTTGAACATGAGTCACTTTCCTGGCCCTCTACCCTCGCAGACTGTGAGGAGGCTCAAAGATGATGTCATGGCTCAGTGCTTGGTCTGGGGTCAGGGACTTAATCGTGGGAGCTACTAATGGCAAGGGCAGAAGACCTGCCTCTACCATCAGACATGGTGGCACGTGCCATCCTCGCTGTGATTCCCCCTCCGGAGGTCCTTCCTACTGTCTGACCTTGGTCTTTGGCCCTGCTCTCCCAGACAGGTGCCATCTTGGATTATACAGGCTTCCTGGCCTCCCCTCACTTTTTCTGGCTGGCAGCCTCCTCTGTTTCAGCAAGTGTGGAAAGGGGAGCTGTGAGAAGTAGCCCTTCCCGCAGAGAGGGCTGGGGAGGTTGATGGCAGCTCTTCCTCTGGGATGGCACCCTTCTCCTTTGTGCCCCTCCAGCCCCATGTTGGGGCTCATCTGGGCTAGGGAGATGGAGAAGACGTGTGTGGACACACCTGGCAGGGGTCAAGGGCTGGGGCCGCTCTCCTCTGCTCTTTGCCTGCCCTGGCTCCAGGATCCTCCATGGTTGTGGCTGGGAGCCTCACTGCCGAGGGTGAGGGGAGCAGCCATCAGCCAGCTGCTGTGGCTGATTAGGTGAGAAGGCAGAGCGGGTTGGGCTGGAACCCACTGGGGCTGGCTGCCTCCTGGGGCCGATTCCATGATGCTGGGATCCATGGCACTGGAATCCAGGTAGGCAAGGGGGTGGGGAACTGCCCATCAGGGAGCCTGTTGGGAGCTGCTTGCTTGTTATTTCTGCAGCCTTCCCGGGGACAAGAAGAGCAGTCCCCCACCTGCTGCCACTGCCAAGAGCCAGTTCAGCATGCGGCGGAGACAGGCCTTCCGGGGGAAGAGCAGCCCTGTTTTGAAGAAGACCCCCAACAAGGGCCTCATGCAGGTCACCCGGCACCGGCTTTGCTCCACGCCTCTAAGCCGAGCCCACCTCTCCACCAAGGAAGGTAGGACCAGCAGGAGGGGCTCTGGGAAGCAGGCTGAGCTGGGCCTGGGAGCCCCACCTCTCCCTGGGCCTGCGCTGGCTCTGCTCGCCTGTTAGGAACGACCTTTGCCGTCTACCTTGAGCTGTCAGGGCCCTGGCCCAAGAGTGCTCAGCCTAGTGGGCTGTGGCTGGCCTGGGCTGGTGAGTGGAGGAGGAGAAGGGCCGGGGCCCTGTTCCCTACACTCTAGGTGGGGAGATTCTACTGGGCAGGCGTGTGGCAGCCTTTTCAGTGCATCCCTCTGTAGGCCGAGCAGGTTTGGCCCTGGGCAGTCCCATCTGGGACTTGTGCTCCACCGCTGTGCTGCACCTGGTGTTTAGGGGACCCAGCTGAGGGCACTGTCCTTGGCAGGCCAGCAGGGCTTTGGAGAAGGCTCTGGAGGAGTGGTTACCTGGGTAGAACTGAGCACCTGTGTGG